TGCCAAGGAAGACCTTCCAACCACCCAAGGAAACATAACACCAACTTCCGGCCACAACCAAATTTGGAATACTACCCCGACTCTAGGAATGCCAAGGATACCAAATTAGTCAAGAACACAAGGAAATGGTCACAGACTTCCCTTCGATTCACACCACTCACTGGGTCTATGAGGTAAGAACAACAAACAACCACGACAACCACACGCACGGCCCAGGTATCCACCACCATTAGCCCAAACACTCTCCACGCTTAGCACTCCAACAAGATGGGAACTAGATTTTCACCACAAGATCCTTGGTTATCTCATTTAAGGAAAAGGTTACAACAAAACTCGACTCAAGACAAGACTCCGGTCTAACAAGTTCTTATAACGCCCATCAATCTACATAACTGAACGTACAAAACTTAAGATTTAGAAATACAGTTAAAGTGGTTACACTATCACAACCATAAAGGTACAATAATTAACAACTCAATTTCAAAAGAAGGTTTTTTTTTTTTTTTTAGTCTTTTCCTTAATTATTGGTAAAAGTCATCTCTTTACATGAAAAACATTTTCTCAAAGGTGTTCCAAACTCACACCGGTCACAAGTCAAAACCTAAAACCATTTCATAAAAACTTGTTTCTCAACATTCTTTTTTCAATGCAAGTTTTCAAATCAACTTTCAAAACTCAATGTAATCAAATGAATTGATATGCCAATGCAACAATAATCAATATAATGCAACAATTCTTCTATTTCCAACATAACAATCGGTGAATCTCTGCTGTTATCCAACAATGCCACGCCCATCACCCACATGGTGATGCCACAGCCGTAACAACATAACATAGCATTTCCACAATATTAATTAACATAATACAACAATTACACCATTCTGTTTGGCCAATAACATTATTATTACCACGCAAGTTATTATTCACACAAGATAACGGCATGATCACATAAACTAGTTAAAAATAAGGATTGTTCTTGTCATCTTGAAAGAAAAATCTTTTTCTTATTTATACATTTTCTCAAAAATTTTACTTGAATTCGTGCTATTTTCCAATGAAGGATTTGTGTTGTAAACTTCGAGTAAAAGCAATTTATTTTGTAATTATTTTCCCCAAAACAAGCCTTAAAATCTCACCCCAAGGATTTTAGCTGAAATAGAAATGCCATGAAAGCTTTCAAAGACCAACAATCACTTATCAATTTATCTTCTCAACAACACCCGGTGAATTCCCACTATTACCCAATCACATCCATCACATTTCCAGTGTTTTCACAATGAGGCAACCACATCTTCCAATACAACAACAATTAGAATAATCATGGTCTCAAATGGAACAATGCAACACACATAACTTTCCAAACTCTGAAAGTTCCGTACCAGCACAAACATTAGCCAAAAAGAGCATTGGTACCCAAAAACCTATGAGTATTCCCAACACAGAAGCTAACACCCTACCTCGATTCACGGCTTCAAAACTTACACAGAGATGCGCGCACTGATGACCACACACAAACGCAAGGTCTAATGCCCTAGGCACAACCCACGGCACCATGCCGCCTTCTAGCCAAAACGTATTAATTTTTCAAAGTCTCAACTTTGTAACCCGCATCTAAACCATTCTAAAGTGACTATTTGTCACCCACCTTGATACCACTCAACTTAACTAATCACTCGAGAGTTTCCGCTCCCGGTCTTCAGGCACCTACATGTCATTCCCAAAAGAATTCTATTCACACGCCTAGATGGCCAACACACTCTTATATTTAACACAAGACCGAATAGGTCAATGGCGATCACATGATTCCGGCCACCCAAGACACTTCTTACTAGTGGTACACTCATCACTTGAGAACACAAACCATTCGTCACCCTAGTAACACTTCAAGCGTCTACTCATGGGATTCTTTTCACTCAAAACTCCACCAAAATCTAATAACACTACAAACTCATTCCACACACACAATTATTAACTCACAACCAACCTTGGCACAACACTAACCCTATTCACGGTCAATAGGACCGCTATGAACTCGCTAATCAACAATTCCAAACATTAAGCAACGCACCCAAGCATCATTCCCACTACTCCGAGATGTGAATCTCACACTCCCTTAGACATTTCTACCTCACTTCCACCAACCTTCTCAAAATTCCAAGGTCTTACTTTTCTTAAACTTAACGCAATAAAAGCTTTAAAATAAATTTTGGGCCTCGTCCTAACATTATGCTAGCCACAAAAATTTCCATAGGCTTTTCAATCCCCATCAACAATTTCTAAACTAACCAAGAATCAAAGACCATCACAAGACCATCACAAAATTCGACAGTTGATATACGATAGTACTAGGATCACCAATTCCATTTACACATTTCATTACACATACATAACAAGGAATTCAAGTTCCATTAGCAAGCCCCAACACGTGAGGGTAACAAATGACAATACATACACAACACATAACCACGGTGCCTTAGCATCCTACAACACACCGATCAATCACAAAAGTTTCACAATTTATAACATAGATCTCTAAAACAAAAGTCCCTCTCAAGGGTGATACTGCTGTGCTGACTAAAAAGCCGACCCTTGCGAAGCTCTCGAAGCTTGGCCTCTTCAGGTCTGATACCGATTAACATCCCCGACTGGACTGATGGGACAAGGTCCGACTAGATTCTGAAACATCAGAAGGATCTACGCGTAAAGGGAAAAAACGTCTAGCATGGCCTCGCTAACCACAATTAAAACAAACAACGGCCTCCCAACTCTGAACCTGATTTCGAGCCTGAACCTCACTGGATCCCTCAACAGACGAGCTCGAAACCCCTGATGAAAACAAGGACCGAGTCTGGGAGTGAGAGTTCTCGAAGCTTGGCCCCTTCGGGTCTGATACTGATAACGTCCCTGATTGGGCTGATGGGACAAGGTCTGACTAGGTTCTGAAACTTCCAAAGAACTCGCACGCAAAGAGCAAAAACGTCTAACATGGCCCTGTTGACCACAATCAAAACAAACGGTAGTCTCCCAATTCTGAACCTAACTCGGAGCCCAAACCTCACTGGGTCCCGCAAAAGACAAGTCCGAAACCCTCGACAAAGACAAGGACTGAGACTGAGAGTGAGTATGAGCTCGCCTCCACCTCTTACTGAGCCTAGAGTGCTTATGAACTGTTGGAGTTACTGAAATGGCCTCCTCTCTTACCCGACCAACACTGCTAACCATGGCCTCTACATGGGCCGCCGCCTCAACTAAAGCAAAATAATTTTTCCACATAGATCCAACCACCTTCTCTTAGATATCATCACGCAACTGCCTCTCAAACTCATAACAGCGGTGCTCCTCTTTTGCCACTAACTCTGGAGCAAACCTCGACAAACTAGTGAATCTCATCTCAAATTGAGCCAAAGAAATAACACCCTGGCGTAACTCAACAAACTGTTCCCTCAACCTTTCTCGAGCAGAAGAAGGGAAATACTTGGCCAAGAAGGCCTTGGTAAACACAACCCACGTGGCACCTACAGTACCCTTCACATACTTCCACCAATAATTCGCATCTCCTGTCAATTGGAAGGTCGCCAAAGAAACCCTCAACCCCTCATCCTCGACTCTGAGCATATCAAGAGTCTTGGTAATCTATTCCAACCAACGCTCCGCCTCTAGCGGTTTTGCCTCCCCCAAAAACTCCAGTGGGTTGGAGCGAAGAAACTCCTTAATAAGCTTGAGGGTGTGCCCGTTGTCCCCCTCATTACGAGCTAGAGCGTCTTGCACTACTCTCACAACCTCACGTGCAACTTCCTCGCCGATAGCCGATGCTGCAACGGCAGGTGGTAAGGGAACCGCCGTGTCCCTACCGATACTCCTACCACTCATCCATACTCTATTTCCTCGTGTAGACATCCTATAAAATCCCAAAACAAAATCAAACTTAGTATTCAACACAACAGCCTCCCTAATGCACATATTCATCACTACTAAGTATCAAGACACACTTAACTCCCAAAACATACAATTTTCAAAACATATAGACAGTTTAAACATCTAAACACATAATTGAATCAAGTCCACAAGGATAACCACTTGTTCTGAAACTCCCAAGAATTCCTATTAGAAACCACGTTGATCAGGCGTGTTTCCAACAGGACCTCAAAGTGAGTCCACCGGCCACAAGTACTATCCAAGAAACTTAATCCCATGCTCACATAAATGCAACACATAAATCCTAACATTTATCCTCACTATATGCAACGTCACCAAGCATAGCAAACCCCCTTGTGGTAAAAACCACTTCCCATGAGCCCAAACTACTCAAACCCGGCTCGCTCTGATACCAAGTTGTCACGCCCCACTTTTTATTACTTGAAATCAATTACCAAAGCCATTATTTAAAATCCAATTTCAGAGATAACATTGCAAAAGCTCAATATATTTTCAAGAAATACATAAGTAAGGATTCTCTCATTTGAATATAAAATGGATGCAACATGAACATAATTAAATAGATTGCCCGCAGGCTTACATCCTTAAAGCACAAGTCACTAAGCCAAGACACGTATCTCACACTTTCCTTAGACATTCCTGCACCACTTCCACCAATCTTCACAAAACTCTAAAGTCTCACATTTCCTCAAGCTTAACACAATAAAAGCTTTAAAATTTGGTCCTCATCCCAACACTACACTAGTCACAAAAATTTCCACTACAAGTTCCAAACTAATTTAGAATTTAAAGGCCATCACACGACCAACAACAAAATTTAATATCCGTTATACAACAACACTAGGATCATCAATATCCTTAACAACTTTTCATTACACATGCAGAAAAGAGTATTCCAGACTCATTGCATGCCCAACACGTGAGGGTAATCAAGCAACAACACACATACATATGTAACACATAACCATGGTGCCTTAACATCCCACAGCACACCGATCAATAACAAAAGTTTCGCAGTAAATAACCAAGATCTTCTAAAACAGAAGTCCCTCTCAAGGGTAATACTATTGTGCTGACTGACAAGCCGACCTTTGCAAAGTTCTCGAAGCTTGGCCCCTTCGGGTCTGATACTGATAACGTCCCTGATTGGGCTGATGGGACAAGGTCTGACTAGGTTCTGAAACTTCCAAAGAACTCGTACGAAAAGAGAAAAAACGTCTAACATGGCCCTGTTGACCACAATCAAAACAAACGGTAGTCTCCCAATTCTGAACCTGACTCGGAGCCCAAACCTCACTGGGTCCCGCAAAAGACAAGTCTGAAACCCTCGACAAAGACAAGGACTGAGACTGAGAGTGAGTATGAGCTCGCCTCCACCTCTTACTGAGCCTAGAGTGCTTATGAACTGTTGGAGTTACTGAAATGGCCTCCTCTCTTACCCGACCAACACTGCTAACCATGGCCTCCACATGGGCCGCCGCCTCAACTAAAGCAAAATAATTTTTCCACATAGATCCAACCACCTTCTCTTGGATATCATCACGCAACTGCCTCTCAAACTCATAACAGCGGTGCTCCTCTGTTGCCACTAACTCTGGAGCAAACCTCGACAAACTAGTGAATCTCATCTCAAATTGAGCCAAAGAAATAACACCCTGGCGTAACTCAACAAACTGTTCCCTCAACCTTTCTCGAGCAGAAGAAGGGAAATACTTGGCCAAGAAGGCCTTGGTAAACACAACCCACGTGGCACCTACAGTACCCTTCACATACTTCCACCAATAATTCGCATCTCCTGTCAATTGGAAGGTCGCCAAAGAAACCCTCAACCCCTCATCCTCGACTCTGAGCATATCAAGAGTCTTGGTAATCTATTCCAACCAACGCTCCGCCTCTAGCGGTTTTGCCTCCCCCAAAAACTCCAGTGGGTTGGAGCGAAGAAACTCCTTAATAAGCTTGAGGGTGTGCCCGTTGTCCCCCTCATTACGAGCTAGAGCGTCTTGCACTACTCTCACAACCTCACGTGCAACTTCATCGCCGATAGCCGATGCTGCAACGGCAGGTGGTAAGGGAACCGCCGTGTCCCTACCGATACTCCTACCACTCATCCATACTCTATTTCCTCGTGTAGACATCCTATAAAATCCCAAAACAAAATCAAACTTAGTATTCAACACAACAGCCTCCCTAATGCACATATTCATCACTACTAAGTATCAAGACACACTTAACTCCCAAAACATACAATTTTCAAAACATATAGACAGTTTAAACATCTAAACACATAATTGAATCAAGTCCACAAGGATAACCACTTGTTCTGAAACTCCCAAGAATTCCTATTAGAAACCACGTTGATCAGGCGTGTTTCCAACAGGACCTCAAAGTGAGTCCATCGGCCACAAGTACTGTCCAAGAAACTTAATCCCATGCTCACATAAATGCAACACATAAATCCTAACATTTATCCTCACTATATGCAACGTCACCAAGCATAGCAAACCCCCTTGTGGTAAAAACCACTTCCCATGAGCCCAAACTACTCAAACCCGGCTCGCTCTGATACCAAGTTGTCACGCCCCACTTTTTATTACTTGAAATCAATTACCAAAGCCATTATTTAAAATCCAATTTCAGAGATAACATTGCAAAAGCTCAATATATTTTCAAGAAATACATAAGTAAGGATTCTCTCATTTGAATATAAAATGGATGCAACATGAACATAATTAAATAGATTGCCCGCAGGCTTACATCCTTAAAGCACAAGAATGGTTTAACCCTTTTTACACCAATGGCATTCCGCCTACACGTAAAAAGCCCCGTGGCCAACAAGGAAGAAAGATCCATGACCTTGAAGCATTTCTCTATGTTCACCTAAAAAAGATTAACAACGTGGGATGAATATATAGTCCAGTAGGGATCTCAACATGATCCTCAACAATAACAACTTACAGATAGCTATGATCATGAATGCTAATCTCATACCATATAAATAATATGACGTTTTATAACTAACGTATACTTACATAATACTTTTCTTGAAAACATTCAGTTTGTACCACAAAACCAAGTTTTGCTTCCCTTACCCATTTCCCATTTCAAACAATTATTACTCGATAACCAGGTTTTCCATTTGCGACAAAACACCACATAACATTCATTTTATGTTCGAAAACACGTTCATTAAATCCGTTTTCTTCGCTTTATTCGTAACCCAAATATAAACATAATCCGTCTCGACGGGTTTGTCACATTTCACAACTTAGACTCAAAATTTAAGAAATAACTTCAATTAAATAATTTATGGTGGAAACTCCCTTAACCACTCTCTAGTACATCCAAGTTTACATAAACACCTCTACTCAACATATGAGACAATTTACCTTACAAAATCACAATAATCAAAGCAAATGATACACATAACCAGATTGAAACAACAACGATAAATAACCCCTGCTCTATCGGACCGCAGCACGGTAAGCCAATAATATACTTCACACAACAACATGCCAATTTACCAGACACCAGCTGGAAGGGAATGGTACCTCTGCCAATTCTCCAAGCACTAGCTGGAAGGTAATGGTACCTCTGATTCTCAGTGCAACCAATTCTCCAGGCGCTAGCTAGAAGGTAATGGTACCTTTGATTCTCAGCGCATTACACATCTCCCAACCATCATCTTTAACCACTTTCAAAGATAACATAGGTGTACTACAGACACATAATCATTTCAGCATTCACAATGTCATCCTCCACCGATGACCAAGCACAAAACATATTCACGATTCAATCCAAGTAAATTTCCAACATTCGCACAGTATTAGTGTTCCAATTCTTCCATTTCAAAATCAATTATTTTATTTCTTTCGTACTAATATTCTTCACCTTATGCCTCAATCAAATTTTGTTTCATTTCACAATGACATGACCAATACGATTCCTTTCTTTCTAATTAAAGGATTTTTATCATGGTTGGCAAGTTATAATTTACACAATTTCTATTTAGCGGCTGTGTACTGAAGGATCTCCTAATCTCGTGATTAATTTCATTCTCTTTAATATGCTCATTACGATAGCCCTACAACTAACCATTGAACACGCAACACTAAGTCAGTATTAAGAATCTATGAGGCTCAATTAATCTCCACAACTCAACAACTTATCATGTTTTAAAAAATGACCATTCCAACACAAGTTAATGTTTCAATTTATAAAAACCCAATTTTGGCATAAATCAATCATCAACTCATTCACCGCATTTCTTAAACTCATAACATAATTATTCCACAATTTTAACTCCCTTTTTATTCTATTGGACATTACTTCAAAATTTAGGGCTTTATCTCTCTAGTCATGAACATATTGAATAACACTCCACATTTAACCCAACTCAACCCATCTCATGAAATTTCAATCTCTACACCCGCATCCTATACCCTCTATCATGATTTTTTTTTGAAAATAATCCATACCACATGATTTTTATGCAACAGAAAATACCACATGTCTATCTATAGGGGAAGTATTGAAGAAAATCAAGGAAATCCCTACCTCAAGAGAGAAGAGGAGAAAAGCTCCAAACTCAACTTCACCGGAAAACAATCTCCACCGGTCAAGACGAAGCCCCCGATACGCTCATCATTTTGGTATAAGGGACTAGCACCAAAATCTCAATGGATTTCTTGAGATCAAAGAAGATATAAAATTCTTTTTGAGGGTTTAGGTATAGAGAGATGAGAGAAAAAGAGAGAAACAATATAGAAAGAGTGATATATCTGAAAATAAGAGAAATGGAACCAAAAATGCAAAATATAGCAGAAAGGCACAAAAAATAGAGCAAAAATGCAGAACGCCGCACATGCGGCGCACCTCCCCGCACGTGCGGAGTGGCCCTCCCGCATGTGCGGCACTTACCCCCGCACGTGCGGTCCTCCCCCGCACCCCCTTCCCGCACGTGCCTTTTTAGTAGTGTGCACCCAACTCCCCTACTCAGTTTCCCGCATCTACGGCCTGATCCCCCGCATGTGCGGCCCCTCCCGTACGTACAGCCCAAGGCCCCTGCATGTACAGCACTGGCCTCCAGCCCGGAAAAACCGCCGGCTTCGCTCCTGACACCTTAGAGCCGATCTGCTCCCTCCGAAACGAGTGGAAACCCAGAACCGAGACAACCATAACAGAAGAAGTTTCAAGAAGAAATTTTCAACACAGACTTACCCGGCATCTTGACATCGATAATTCAAACGATGTTTCAAGAGAGTAAGGCAAAACACGCACCGGTCATCACATGCCACAAACAAGCTTAAAATTTGATCGAAAGATTTTCGCATAGCGTCACTAGAATTAACCAGCATTGGCCATGATGTCCTCTAGATTAATTTTGACATGAATAATTGGCTTCAAATCTTAAAAGTGAGCTAGAGTGGACCCCATGAAAAGGCCGTGTTAAACCCTAATGGACTTGTGATACAGTGCTGAGTTTTGAAAGAGAATAGTTGAGTTCATTAGTACAAAAACATTATGGTGAACATCATCAATGGAGGAATTTTTGTGTTAGTGAAGAGGCATTTTGTGAGGTGGAAGTGTTTGGATTTTATCATGGTTTGGGATCTAATTAATTACTTTTTTTATATTGATAAATTAAACTATTTCTTTTGAGATTTTAAAAATAAAGAAAAATTTACTCACAAATCTCATACGGGGGAATGTTGACCCATTTAATTCTAAGAGTTTTCTTATGAACCAATTAGTCATTTTTGTTTTGAAAAATTGTATTCATTTGATTTGATACCATTTGGAGTGAGAGAGCTAGATTCCAAGCTTGATCTTTAGAGTTTGAGACGTTTAATCCGTGTTTTGAGGTTAGAATCTTGATTTACTCTTGTTATTCTTATGTTGATCAGATTGCATTTCATGATCTAGCATGATTCATGAGCCATGCATTGATTTAAAGTTTGTTTTAGAAAGAGAAAGTAATGTTCATGTGTTCTTGAAGAAAAACCATGTTTTGATCCGAAAGTTTGTATCAAGTTCCATGTTTTTGTGTTTGTTTCCATAAAATCTTCAAGTATGGGTACCCAGGTCCATGTTTTCAAACTCATCACATGAAAACTCAGAGTTTGAATAAAGAAGTTATGATTCTAGCATTCATGTTCTTCATGTTCTTCAAGAGGGAAACCCAGATTTTCCCAGACTTCATTTCCTTGAATGTGGTCGTCAGGAACACACCTCGGCCAAGAGGTGTGGGACCTCGGCCTAGACCTGGTTAGTACCCAGCATGTTTTTCCTAGATGAAAAGGCAGTGTTGTAACTCCCAGCATGTTTTACTTTGTTTTGACTTGATTTTAAAAGAAATGCCGAGATCCTTTCCTATCATGTAGAGCTTGTTTTAAGGATGCATTTCATACCCATCTTTGAGCATCTCTTCTTGTCTTCTTGAAGTGCATTCAATGGGATTCCTTATGTGCTTGTAGGCCTTGGATCCTTGCTTGTAATTCCTACACCCAAAGAACTATGTGAGTGGTATTTTTAATAAAGTTATGTTATAAAGTTTTAATAAAGCTTTGCTTTGCTTGGTTTTGAAAAAAGTATTCGTTAAGCATGAATGAATACCCCTATTTTGTGTATCAAGTATTAGTCTTGTTTTGGATGACATTCTTGGCAAGTCCGTACGTGTTAGGGGACTCTAAAGCTTTGTAGCACTAGTCCGTACGTGCTAGGGGACTCTCAACCTTTGTAGCACAAGTCCGTACGTGCTAGGGTTCTCTAAACCTTTGTAGCACAAGTTCGTACGTGCTAGAGGACGCTAAGCTTTTGTAGCACCTTTGTTTAATGTCATCCCTTGTATTATATT